ATTTTCTTTTATTGATCTGAATTCCTTTACTCATTAAGTAGACAGGCTTAGTGCAGTAAAGAGTTTTCTTTTCCCTTAGGTCACAAAACAGCAATAGATCTACTTCTGCCACAGCCTCTCAACACCACATAAAATCCAAGCATCTATATTGGCTCAGATTAAGGTCCATGCGGCCCAGCATCCCATTCAGCTCTGTGTAACTGACTCTCCCTAGGCACAGCCAACCATATACAGACCAAGACTGATCTGCAAAGCAAAGCAGATCAGATTAAGCAAACAAAACAGAATTCTGTGGTCCAGAGGTAAAGAACACCACATTATTAAATGAAGCAACACATAGTTACTGTAGGAATGTCTTTAGGAAAGTAGGAAAAATGGGAAGGCTAGTCAGCAACCTAACCAGTTTGGGCTGGAGAAAGAGGTAATAAGAGGCTGCTCTGTGAAGGAAAATGAAAGAACACGGAGAAAATTAAAGCCAGGGGTGAGAAGTAGAGTTTTGGGAAAGTTAAGCAAGAAGGCTCAAGGGCCAAGTGTGTTTAAATGCCTTTGTGTAGGTGAATGGAGAGAAAACTGAAGTTGACCTCAAAGCAGCCCCACTCTTTCTTCCGTACTCTTGGCTATTGCCATCCAACACTTTATTGGAAAGAAAAAAACAAAGGAAGGGGATGGGCCTGATTCTGTCTCAGCAAGGGAGAAGGTGTGAGGTGGAACCAAAAGCCCTTACTAATGGTGTTCTTCTACAGTTATTAAAAAATGGGTCTGACAACTGCAGATGATCTCCTAATCACTCTCTTCCCCAGACACTGTCAACTCTATACACCTAACTTAACAGCTTCCTTGGCTACAGCAAAAGTAATAGAAAGGAGGAAACAAATGGTGCTTGAGCAGCTGGTCTCCTCTTGCCCAAGGAAGACAATCTGGTACCCACCAGTCTGTGCTGCATATGCCTAAAGCACCCTCGTGCATTTAGACTGACTCATAGGAACATCATCCTTGATGCAAGCATGCACACACATACACAGGTCAGAGGTGTCTGAAGTGTCAAGAAGAGAGATTTTTAATACAGAGATTATGTCATCTATCAAACTAGCAATGAACTTTGCAAGAGGACCCTCATTTCCCAGTCTCACAGTTAAGGGAGGCAGTACAAATCATCCTTGCTTAACACCCAGTGTACTATCATTCAGTATGATATTACATCAGCAAAGCTCACTTACATTTTCTGCTTTCAAAGGAAATTTCTACTTTGTTGTTGTTCTCGTTTATGGTTTCACCCTGAAAATTCTTACGTATGAGCAGCAAAATTTGCAAATCGTTTGCATGCCAGAAGTGTGAACAGCAACCAAATGTCACAGCCCATTGCAAAGTCCTTCACAATAATTATCAGTAAAAGTGTTTTGGTTTCAAACAAGCAATATGCAGCAGCAGTAGCATCATTCATGTTAGAACCATGCCTCACTTTTAGCAAGAGGGTTGGCATTTGACATACAGGAAGCTTACATTTTGGGAACATAAAATGTTAAAGTATGGTAATAAATACAAGTTTTAATCGTATGTTTTGTTTCATCATAAACTGACAGGAATGAGTGAATTAACCATACCTCTCTATCTCTTTTTACATAACTCTCTTACTAGTTACTCACCTTTCATAACATAAGGGTTTTTTAAGCACATTTTAACTTAAAAGAGCTTCAGTGTTTATGCAGGGTTTGTACAGATTGATCTGCTGTAATCTATCTAGAGTTCTTTGCCTTGATGAGAGATATTTGAAGTGGTCCTTACTGTATTCTGATGCTTCACCCATTGCATAAAGAACTACTTCTGAAAAAGCCCATGATGTACTGGGCTAAACATCAAGAGCAATTAGATTTAGCAAAATTATTCAGAAGAGGCCCAAGATCAAATAAACATTGCTTTTCCACAGCAGAGGGGAACACTCTCTTACTTTCTGCCTAACAACAAGGTACTGACAGCAGTGTTTCAAGCTGGATGGGGCCAGACTTTGATCTCAGCAGGGGGGCTAGTGTTAACCACAACTGTGAGCTGCCTTAAAACCCACAGGTCAAGCAGGTATTTTTAGTTCTATTTTGAAGATATAGAAACATACTTTCTCTTATTTCAACAACAGGTCTATTTATTTTGGGGCAGGAAGGGAGCAGGAACTGCAGACATATATTCAGATAAAACCAAAAGACATTCAATATTTATCCATTTTGAAAAAAATAGAACAGTTCCTGCGTGACAGAATGCCGCCCACCCATTTTAACAGCTCTATCCCTCAAAAATTAATTGTCAAGAATTAAAGAACAATGCTTCTCAGCCGCAGTCCTGAACATTGCAGTAAGACTTTAAATTGTAGTATTTTGGATAATACTTGTAGATCATTTCAGTATTCACTGAAAGAAAATAATCAGACTAATTCAACAATTGAAATACTGCTAGGGTGGGAGCAAGCTATTGATTAATCCAACACACAAAGACGAAGAAAAAATGTGAATGGAGACCAATTCTTGAAAGTATCGAGCTTCCACTGCAGATACATATAAGTCAGGTTTAATAAGGCAGCCCCTAATTGACCAAGCAAGAATTGATCCCACTGCCTTAGGCAGTGGTCATCAGTTCCTGTTCTTCCAGTCTTAAGTCCAAATAGACATAACAGTTTATGAAATCACATACATAATCTAAGTCTGTATCACTGTGTGATGTAGTATGCAGCAAGTCAGATGATCAAGGTTTTCTAATGTTGTCAATTTATAGAGAATAAACTAGAAGGAAAGAAAGAAAACCAGAAGAAAGTGATCGAGCAGAAAGAAGACTGGGAGAAGTGTCTGAAACTCAAGTGACAAACAGTGAAGAAGGGGTGGGCTGAGGACAGACATTGCCTGACAGACAAAAACCTGCCATGACTGCAGGTCTTTCAGAATATTCAAAGGTCCCTGCAGCATGGACTGACTGGACTATACACTTGTCTTCCCTCCACGCTTTTACCTCAACACCAAAAAGCAGTGGGAGACGAAGAGGTACCACTTGCGTCCTCAGTCTCCTCCTTGCAAAGGTCTGAACGCAAAGGATTCTGGCAAAAGCTGTACCGGAAATAGCCTGCATGTGGTTATGGCCCCAAGCCTGCAAAACTTGCACACATGAGATTCCCACCAACTTGCATGGGAATTTTGTGCCTAATCATTTCAGTGTCTGACCACAAAAGCCATAATTGGAATTAAAACATCAAGTGAATTGTTAAATATCCAGAACATTGGCACCAAGATAATATGCTTTAGCTTCAGACTGAATACATGACATTTACATCTATATATTATCTTATGGAATCCTGGGCATTTTAGTAGATTTTAATTTTCTGCACAGAAAGAATGAATTAAATGTTGCCCTATATGGTGGTAGTAAGGATATTATAAACATATTTTACAGCAATTTGCCACCAAACACCCACTTAACCCATGGAAGTTGTTTTTATAAGTACAGTGCAAATCATAACTTTTCCCTTGCATTTATTATAAAAGCTTTCTTTCCCTTAATGTTTGATCTAGCTGTAAAAGGCAAAAATGTTTTGTTAGTAAGCCATAACCTTTGGCAGCCAACAAAGCGACTAAATTTCCTGCAAATAATTTTAGTTACTCTTTTGTTTAACAATGTGCTTGTTTCCCATAATTCCCCTGGGAAGGTATAATGTCCCTGTGCAGATGTTCAATGTTATAATTGGGGAGCATTCAGCAGAGATGTCATCAGTGACACAACACTTTAACAATGAAAGAAAATGAAATAGACATCACAGGGGACTCCCATTTCAAAGCAAACCTTCAAGGATCTGAACAGGAAGCATATTTTCCATATTACAAGTTCTCATTTAAATTACAAAAGTACATTGACATTTATTTCCTAAGCAGATGAGTTTATCACTAGTTTAGTAATGAGTATCAATGGCAACTGAAATTACACTTCCTTTCATACAGAGCTTCTTTTGATAAGTGCCTTTCCTTTACTCACATTCTCATACAGACTTATCTGAACTAGAACAGCCAACATTTTGTATAATTTTTCATGTTACCAGAAATGGATGCTGCAATGACACGTTTTTGCAGGACAGCATGAACAACCCATTTCAGCCTGGACTTGTGCCAAACCCTACTTTCCAGTCAGTCCAACTGTAGCTGAGTATCTGGTCTCATGGTCTGAGACCAAAGGGATATAGCAATAGTGGCTGCACCACTCTCATGTTTGGTACTGGCTACAGAAGCTGATGTAGTAACAAGACTAGTCACACTGCAGCACCCCAAACTCAGGGAAACTGTGCTGAAAAGCCTTTCTGTGCTTGAACAATTATATTCAGCTAAGTGGACAGCAGGACACAAAGGCAATAGTTGGTTTCTTTTTGCTATTGTGAGACTACCCACTTAGAAATCCGAGGCTCCCCTTAGGAGATATGCTCCATGAACCATCATCTCACTAATAACCAGCCACATGGCAACCTAATGTGAAGAGTACTGCATAAAATAAAAGCAATCCCACAAACTAATATCAAGAGGATCAATCTAGAGGTATGTCTAAAAAGTTATGGAATCCAAATTCTGTTCTCAGATATACACAGGGTAATCCTACTACCCTTATACAGTTAAGAAATCAGAGAAATCCAGAAACAGAGCAAAACACATCTATATTCTACCAGCTTCACCCAGAAGACAAGTAAAACTGGCTTCTACAGTCTGTCCCATTTATACAATGGTGATCCTTGCCCAACTCAGTAACAGATTACCCAGAAGTGTACTTAAATAGTTACTACAAGTATTCTACAGGGAAGCTTTGAGGCACATCAATGTTGATGTTATAAACCATTGATAGTCATGCCATACACAGTATGAACCTTTGCCATTTTTGAGGCTGACAGGATACACCAATTAAGTAACTCAATGCTGAATAAAATAATACCCAATTTTCACCAGATGCCAAACAAAACCAGCATATAACAATCTTTTGTGCTCTCTCACCTCTTATTCCACATGTATGGCAGTGCACCATTTCAGAATCTCTATGGAAAGTTCAGAAGGATGATCCTCAGTTAAACTCTCCTCAGCTGGAGAAGGTTTTGCATCTGGCTGCAGAACAAACAAACAAATTTAGTGCAGTGCAAGAAAGAAAACTTTGAAGTAACTGATGCAGTCTGGCGTACAACATGATAAAGAAGTCTCAAATGAAGAAATGCAGGAGTCTATACCTGAAGGGGAAATCAGGGAGTATATACATTGAAGGAATTCACACACCACATTCTTCTTCAAAGCATCATGTACATTTGCAAGCCTTGAAGCTATAAAGTGCGGTTTGGTCATAAACATTTCGGTAACATGTGGAAAAATACCAGTATATAGTCTATATCACAGCTACCATCATCTGCTGTATTAACTGAACCTCAGCTATGAAGCCTGTTACCCTAGACGAAGCCTCCAGCATAACAAAGATCTCCATGCAATATTCTTAGGTAACAATACACCACACAGTTACCACCACCACAGTGGTATTTCTCAGCTGCTATAGTAATTTTCTCCAGAATTAGAAGACTTTCCTTAGAATTTCTGTAAGTTCTTCTGGCCCTCTCTGTGCTTTGCCCTTCTGGAAGTGGACAACCAAGCAAGATGCTAAGAATAACTGCAAATTTATTAGATGAAGTGGCATATGTTGGAGGAAGAACCCCTCATGTCCAAGATTTCAGTCACCAAACTAACAGCCTTTAGGTTGCTGCACTCCTACAGAGTAACAGCTGAACAAAAAAAAATCTAAACCCAAATCCTATCCTGTCTTTCCCCAGCAGAGTTTGACCCTTCCAAAGGAGACATTCCTGGGATTTTATGAAGTCCACAGGAACCTGGTTTTGGTCTTTTGTGGAAGTCATACAAATGCTGCTATCTAAGGATGGCTCTAAGATAAATGATGTTTCATACACACGCATGACACACACGACCTCTAATGACAGGGAAGGAATAAATGTAGTCATTCAGCCGCCCCCTCTGCCCTCCTCAACTCAAGCCATCTTGAGAATTTGTTGCTTTCTTAAGCTCTTGCTGTTCTGCCTTTTCCCACCTTCTCCAATCCTTTTATTCAACTGCATTTTTTTTCTAAATTAAATTCAAATACTTGTTCAAGTCTCTGCAGCTGAAGGCAAAATTCCGTGTCTTACTGCAGATTTTCTTCCCCTCCTCAGTCTCTCTCCTGAAGGTTCACATACCACCAGCTCAAGTCTCCATGCTAAGTTCTTATGCTGACAATAAGGGAGTTTTGCCATCTCGTGTTCCTCTTTCCTGGACAAAACCAACATACAGACTCTACAGTGACTTCCATATCTAGTGACCATATTTTCCCCTTCTTTTAACTATTGCCATAGTTGTCAACTATGGGTTTAGTAACACAAGACTATTTCAGCACAAGCAACTAACTGCGTGCTTCTGATTGCTCCATTTTGAACTATAAACCAGTTAATTCAGCTGTATTGGTGTGTGACACCAATTATTCCACATGGAACCAAAACACATCATACAAATCCAGAATGCTGAGATGAAAGGAAAGTAAAAAGGCAGTGGGAAAGCTGAAAAATGATAAGTAGAAGGGGATCAATTTCGTATGGAGGTTCTGATAATGAGTAGACCCTGATTCCATTACATTCTCCTGACTGTAAAAGCTGACCTTGACACTGCAAATTTTTAGATTTTGAGATAAAATGGAGCAACACTTCCAGGAAAGCAGTTATAAAACTTTTCCCAGGTAATGCTTGCATGTATGAGATACTGACCTATTACTCTGAATTTAACAGTGGAATTTTCAAAATCAGTGAACACCTTTTAGAAGTTACATTGCATTGCCTGTTTTTTAATGAATCAGATCTCAGTTTGTTTATGTGCTTTGGTATCTCAACAGGAATACAGCAGCTGGAAATGAGGAATTCAAGAGCCTACCCCACTGATTCCTTTGCCATAATCCACAAACTCAGATTCTGCATTTAGATCCTTTAAAATAAACTATCAAGGGCAGAGGAAGGTGTTGAAAACAGCTTAGAAAGTTACCTTAGATCCTCTACCATACACTACAATGTATTTACATCTGCTGGCTCTAGCAGATGGTGGAAAGTTTGCTTTTTATTTTTTATTTTAAGTGTAAAAGAGACAACCAGGCCTCTAACAGACCCTCTTTGATCTCACCTGGGAGGAAAGTTATAATCTGTCCCTGAGAATCTCTACAGTTCAAGCTTAAAAGACAAAAGAGAGGAGAATGTGAAAAGAACAGGAAGCAGCACATAAAATAAAGCAAATGGGCTCTGAAAGGCAGGCTGGTTCCAGGGAATGGCAGTGTCTAGTTATGTCCTTGGAACATTGTTTTTTTAAAAAAAGCTATCTCAGAGATGTGCCAAATCACTTGCTTTTGATTGGGGTGGCAGCAAATGGGACATGACAAGTAGAACAGAGCATAGCTGCTGCACTGCCCACAGCAAAGAAAATGCCGTTTAGAGGCTAGGAAGAAAAAGAAAGGTGAAATTGTCCATCCACAAGAGAAGGTTTAAAGAAAATGCCTAGAAAGCTGTATTTTAGAAAAAAAAAAAAAGCCCATTGGAACATAAATGTTAGCATATCTTTAATTGTATTTTGTTTCCTGCAAACACAAGAAAAATTTGTAACTAGTTACTGTGATTAATAGCCCTTAGATTATAGCCAAAAGTAAGTGTAACAAGTTAAAAGGTACTGAAAATCTGTAATAGAAAATTAACAGTAGCTGCTACACATCAGAACCTGTCCATTAATGCCAGCTGACACAAGCTGCTGTTGAAGCTGTCCCATTACCACCCTGACAAAAACTGCACTGCACTGATACACTCACACAGTGCCTTTTAGCCCAAGTGTCGACCTCATCCAAAATTAGTCCCCTCAATAGTCAATTGCTGAGCTACAGAAATTCAAATACTGTATTTAACTTTATTTTTCTAATCCTGGTGTCTGTGTTGACTCCTATGGTCTTTCCCAAGGTATTAGAAAGAGAAATGCTGTCCTAACAGTAATCACAATTTCAGCAGGAAAAGGCACTCTCAGAAAACCCACAGATAAACCTACACATTCTTAATGAAGACCGTGCTTCCTCTCTTATATACAGAAAAAAACTTGATACTAACAGTGTTAGGATCTAGCATCTGTGGCCTTGAAAGAGCTTCACAAAAAAGGAATTGCCATTTCTGAGTTTGCAGCAAGACCAAAACTTTCCCAAATTAGCCTAGCTCTATTGATCAGGTTAAAGTATCCAGCCACTGTATGGGTACATAAGCTCCTCTTGAGAGAGAAAGGAAAGGCTGCACTTTCTTGGACACATTTTATGTTCACATTTGAAAATCTGGGGACTCAGTGGGATACATCCATAACAACCTCTGTGTGCCCATCCTTTTAGTGTTTCACACCCTCCCAGCTGTCCTCACAATACTGATATACCTGTTGGTTTGGCTTCAAGAAGCACTCTCCCCTTTTGATCATCAGGTAGAGTTTCATGCATGCCATCACATGCCTAACTATTGCGTCCATGGCTTTGCTGTATTGACACATCCAGTTTGTACTTGCACCCTTTACAAATATCACTCAACCTGCCTGAAGATGATGCACACCCACTTGATATCAACGCTCAATCAAGCCTGTGTTTCTGCTTAACTTAAAAATAAATCAAGGAAAGATCTCTTACATCATTTTCTATGCCTTTATGCCATAAGATTGCTCCACATAGAATTTTATCAAGAGAACTTGTATCCAGTGAATGAAATATGGAGTGATAGGGCCTGGTTTTAGGTGGGGCTATTCACCTACCCTAAAAGAAACATTCAATTACTAGGAGTGTCTAAGTATTTACTTTTCAATTTTCCTAAGTGACACTTAATGTACCATTGTGATTAAAAGACTGGCTCACAATATTCCACTTAGCCAGTAGTTTGTCCATATCAACCACTGAGTGATGCGTTTGGCTTTTCACCACATTTCTGTACAACAAAAGATTTCCTGCTGTCAATATTCAGTATGAGATTTTTTTTTTATTTTTAATTTTTTGCTATTTGTATCTAAAATGAGAGTCTCTCCTCTTTGGTTTGTACAACAAAACCTATTTCTATAGGCCCCTTCAGTAAGCAGGTATTGCTCTCACAGTTCAAATACATCAGCAATCACTTGTGTCTACTACTAGTGTACGGAACCAAATCCTTATCTTGTTCAAACTGGCTTAGCTCCACTGACTCCACAGCAACAGCTGCCTACCCTCATTGAAGATCCAGCTCAAATACTAGAAAGAACTTCCACTTGATTCACAGCAACTGCTGCATAACAGAATGCATGCATTATCCAAAGCAAAATTATTTCATCATATCAAACCTCTTATTATGCTTTATAACAGTATAGGCAATTCTCAGGAAAGGACAGTGATATCCAAGTACGACCATAGTCTATGTACCAGCACACAACTTACAGCAATAGCTAAATAGCATAGTGAGTAAAGTCTAAACCAGATAATTCCAATCCTGTATGCTCTCAGAAGCCTTCACTGATGACACGGTACTGTTGTATCTCATATATTGCTCCATCACAGGGCTCACAAGGCTGCACATTTACTCTTTCTTCACAGTAAGGAGTTGTTCCTTCTCAGTTCATGGTAACAGGGAAGGAACTCCACCAAGTTATCTCTTTTTGAAGTCTTTATAGTTCTTTCTCCTAGCTTCATTAATGAGCTGATGGCCATGGTACACCTTTCAAAAGTAGTTTAGCAACCTGAGTAAGAGTGATTCCACTCCAGCAATTCTACCTCCTCCCCCCATCACACACCCTTTTTAATTGCACATTTTCTAAAATAGTCTGAGATCTGGATCAGTAAATGGTCTTTTCTGTGCCAGCACAGAACATATTAATATGTGAAAACATCCTGTGCAAACTCATATCTCTGCATATCACAGATCTGACATATATATGTTTGGTTTCAAACAAATACATTTCCAACCACACTTTCTCATAGAAGAAAATGGTGTGTGGTAGCTTGTTCTTTCTTTTCTTGGTTTTGGATGTCCATGTTTTTCTGTTGGTGTTTGGTTTTAGTT